TGATCACGACCTTGCTGAGCACACCCTCTGTCCTTCCATGCTTGTGCCACCCGACACGCAGACGAGGAAGCATAAGAAGAATAAGAAGAAGAAAAGGCCCAGAATCTAGAAGCGATCAAGCTGCCCAACAAGATTGAACAGCTGCAAGAGAAAAGCTGTGCGTGTTTCTTTGTGCGTTTTGGGGAGATAAGGCCCCGTGTCCGGCCATTTTACTGTGGGGGGGAGATAGTGCGAAGTGGCAGAAAGAGTTCATTTTGATCTGGCGCAATGAGGATTTAGGGCATCCCCTTGCTTCACCATTCAGAACCCTCTGTTTGGACATTCGGCCATGCTCCCAACTTTTTGATCACTTTGAGATTTCATGACGCTTGGGCGCACAGCCACTCCAACCTGGTCTGTTCCACGCACATGCAGCCCGAAGACCAAAGCCTTACCGGAGATCGTTTGGCCTCCTGCAGGCTGGACTGGAGCGCCTGGCGGTAGTGCCGCCGCCTTAGGAGTTAGGAGCTCCGATGAGGGTCCAAGCGGGGCACATCCCTTCCACGGCTTCTCCCTCACATGCTGGGCGGAAGAGGAAACAGGGGGTGGGATACCATCGGGGTGTATAGGGAACGCGGGACGCTGACACAGACATGAATGGTTGTAGATTTCTCCGGCTCTTTCTGATTCTAGTACGTGTGAATTTCTGAGCAAGATTTGGTGTTCTTCCCTGGGATGGAGCTTCATCTGTGCCCCTCCTTGGACCGAAGCAAGCCATCACGGTGCAAGTGCGAACCGAAATTAAGACCAATCAAGAGAATATGTTTTGAGGAGTAACAACAACTGGTTTTGGGGCCCATTATATTAAAACCAAACATAAGGCGCCCCCCCAAATAGTATAGGGAATGATTTTCGGCCCTAGGAAGGTCGATTTACTTCACCCCCTAGAGGCGAGAGTCCGGCAGCCCAGAGAAGGAGGCTGATGCCCTCCACCAGGCCTAGGGCCTAGGGTGTGCGAGAGTTGGGGCTTTCTGTGTTCGGGGTTTGCCGGCTTCGGGTTTAGATTTGGGGAGTCTGGCGGAATTTCGGACTTTCGGGCGAGCGGAGGTCGAGTTTTCCAGCTGCCGCTCATGCCGTGAAGTTTCCCCTCAAGCCAGACATGAACCCTGAGCCTGAACCCAAACACTGAGCACTAGGCCACTACGCCCTGGAATAATGGAATTCCTTGGAGCTCCAAACCTGCGAAGCAAACGCCTGTAACCCCGAGGGACCCCAGGTGCAAGAGGAAAGCTCGAGTTCTTTGGAATTCAGAAGCTCGAGCTGGGAGCCTGCACAAAGTAATGACAGCCTGCATTGCCGAAAGTACTCCTGACCATACTGAGAACATCATAGCAACAGTGAGCAAAGCAGTCTGTTACTCCACACAAACAGACAAGCAATAGCAGTCGCAACCAACAGAAATGTCAGGACCAGTATCTTAAGTTTGACGTGCTTTTATTGCTGCTTTTGATTCTCGGCCGTGGTTTGCAGTCAAGAAATCCGAGTGGTTGCTGAACCAAAGGAGTTCACCTTATCGGAGTGTAGCACTGCTTCATGAACCACTCTTCCAAGGACCGACCAGCCGGTACCACAACCGATGAGCATCGCAGTCAGTATACATCCAAACAAGCCTGGTACATAGCCTTTGCAGAGGGACGCACGGCACAGCATGCCATGGCGAAAACTGCTGGTCATTTTCAGCTGTTCGGCGGGAGGCACGGTGCAGTGTGCTGAGAGGTGTGTCTGAAACTTCGCACGAGTTGTCGCTTTCTGGTTGGCGTAGGGGAATTAAGGATCTGTCGCCACACTGTAGCCCTCGTAGAAACCCTGCCATGCCCGGTGCAGGACAAAGTGCCTTCGCCAAAAAGGAGCCCAACTGGTGCATGGAACACCGAGCCTTTCCGCATATTTGTCAAAAACGGTGGTAGAATGTTCATTGGGGCTGCATAGTTTTCAGGGGCTTAATATGAGGGCTTTAATACCAATACTATTTTGGGAGTTCCTTGTTATAAGTATAGGATAATGGGGCCCAAAACCCTATTCAAACTACGTTATGGACTTGTGGCGTGTCCGAGTGCTCCTGAGCGGTCTTTGCAGGTCTGCAGTGCGCTTTCTCTACTCTGTAACCTGAACCGAAGGGCCGAACAGTAGATCCACTATGCCCGCCCAGCTCTTTCTCTCAAAGGTCTCTGATGGCAGAACGGAAGCTGCAAGCGAGTTTTTGGAGTTTGTAAGCCGCTTGCCGCTCATTCGTCACGGGTACACAGCCTTCGTGAGGGTAGACTAAGCAAACCTCCTTTCGATCGTGTAGGGCTCTAGGGTTTCATCCCACTGTCGCCAGGAGCTGGCCTTCGCAGAGGACGTAGTAGCCTCGGGAGGGTGGCACAGCTGTGCCCTGCGGCCATCGGGTGAGGTCATCTGCTCCTTGGCGCATGACGGCCTTCTCAAGCCGAGGAAGAAGTCATGTTTTGAGAAGCTTTTTTCAGTCTGGGAGTCTGAAGTTGGCTGGCTCAGAGTTCGAGGCATGTCGCGGGAAAGGGGCTTTCGTGGAAAAGATTCACCAACTTGCTGCACGAAGGAAGCTTGGTACGTAGTGTAACATCAGCGTGGCTTATTCGTTTGCTGCGCGGACTCCTTTTTCGTAATCCGAAAATTTCACAGGTTTTGCCCACAAACGCCGGCTGACGGTCCTCCGCGCCCTTGGTCTCAGGGTATAGCGCCAAACCTTAGGCCATGGGAGGTTCAGGGTCTATAGGGCTTTGGTTTTCATTGCTATATCCAGCGTAATATTTGTCGACGTTATTCCCTCGCTTCCATGTTGATGCATGCTGACGACGCCTACCAAAGACTATGGCAGGCAAGTTATGCAGGTGCACCCAAAGGCTCCTCATGAAGTTTCTCCTATTTCCTCCTGCGGCTTGCAAGTTGGTTCAGAATACTCCGAGGTTGGGGAGCCAACGATCAGGGACAGCCACCTGGATGGCAACAGTGCGAACCACACAGTGATGTAGGACTAATCAATAGAGACGATGGCATCGAGTGCGATACCCGTCCAGCAACAACGCAGCCCGTAAATGTTTGAAGTGTGTGTTGCTGCTTGTGTTTGATTCTATAGAACACCAGATGCTACGGCAATGGAACCCAAGCTCATGATTCAGATTCACGTGATCTTTCATGTCTTCTGCTCGTGGAACGGTTTTGTGGTTGGCGGTGCTGCCGGGGTTGCCGACGGCGTCTCCGCGGTCATCCCAAGGCTATGCGCTAACGGTGCAAGTTGCTGTGAAGTGGAGTCCGTTTCAACTCGGGATATCTCTTACTTTGACTCATAACAAGGAGTTGCTGCATCATCCTAAGTATCCCCACGTTTTAGTCTGCAGCGGCAAGAACAAACTGTGAACCTGACGACAACCTGGAAGGCAATCCAATCTTTAGAGAAAATCCAGGAGCCTTTAGGCTCACACGTCTAAAGCCCTCCCCCAATAACACCTTTCCGAAAAGGACATGTCATGTTGACAGGGACCTAGCAAGAGCCGAGAAAGGTGCACTATGATTTTGGCAACAGGGCCGGAGCTGTACTCTGAGTTGCTACACAGCCTTTGATGAGCATATTATGATAACAAGTATGGCTGAAGCGCGTGTGACAAAAATCAATGTTATTTCGTCGACTGTTGTTGTGATTAGTGATCAGTGCTTGCATGCCAGAACTCATCATGGTTGTCGTGATATGCCTCTTACCACTATTCCTCCTCTCAGAAGCAGTCCTCGTAGTCGTCGTGGCAGCCGCTAGAAGTAGTAGTTGAAGTGATGGTAGCGCAAGTAGCCGCAGTCGCTAGAAGCAGGGGTGCTACCACCATGTTGCTGTGCGAAGGTCGACACCGCCGAAGGCCACGACAGCTGAGTGGAGAACGAGGGAGGGAGCGACAGGAAACGGTGAGACGGAGCATTATTGAGCGGCGTAAGACTCTGGCCTCTGAGGTCACAATACCAGCGAGGGTTGGGGATGAGTCTTGCACGACAACGCCGACTTGGTTTGTCCGTTCCCTGACCTTCTGCTGACACGGTGAGCGCTTCTGTGAGTGGTGGAACAAAAGACCCCTCACCTAGGAGATGCAGGCATGCAGGATGCGCATGACAACAGCTGGGGCGACCCTCACGACACGAAACAGAAAGAGAGACACCTTCAGAGAGAGAGAGAGAGAGAGAGACAAGTTCACTCCTTCTTGAAATGGGCTCTGCCATCAATCCTGGCATGTATAGCTGTCTGTATGTGTGTATACATATCTGTAGCCATATCTATATATCTATATATATATATATGTGTATATATATATATACATATACATACACAAATGTAACTCCGAAGCCCGTGTACAAAGCTGGATCCAGAAGCCTCTGTCAGCATCCAAGAAAAGCAGCCCGTTGACGTCCCCGAACAGCATCCCTGGCGTGTGCTGTCGAAGCACTCATCCTTGCGCGGATGGTTGGTCTGTTTGTTGTTGCCGCGGTTGTCGCGCTGTTCTAGCGGCAGCCTTTGGGAACAAGTCGCCATTCAGAGATATGCAGCTTTTGTTGCGGGATCCAAACCCCCGCAAACTCTGAGCTTCACGCACCCCTGGCCCGAGTCCTTTTGTTTGACCTATGGTGCAGGGCACCTTCGTGAGCCTAGCGGCAGGAAAGAGCCACAGAAGCTCGGTGAATTGGTTCAGGGATTTAGGGTCCTGTCATTGCTTCTTGACATGCGTTTGGTCGTCTTCTGGGTTTCTACATATTTTTTCAGGCTGTGTAGGGGCCCGTGGTGTGCTCGCTCCCACAATCTAGCCGAATGCTCAGAATTCTGAACCTAAAGCCTAAAGCAAAAAATCATGCAAGCCTATATCTCAGGATCGGCTGAGCTTGAAGGCTCAGGTAGACGCCTTACGATAGTATAGAACCTATATACCCGCGCAAAAAGCCCGAAAAGGCCGGAAGGCAATGGTTTGGGTAAGGTATTGATGAAGTTCGTGTGCCCTAACCCGCAACTGTTTGAGACCCGGGGCTAGCTGTACAATCTTGTACCAATCTGGACGTTCCTACTCCAAAGCACGGTTCCAAGTCAGACTCATTGAGCGAGAATCTCTCTCCCTAAGGTAATGCCATAGTATACCGTATACCCGTAACCCTAGTCTGATTGTTCAAGCCTATGTTACCCAACCACCAAGGCTGTGGCATAAGACCTTCTGGCCTGCTCGAATGTTGGGGCAGCAACTCGCGGCGCAGATGCAAGCAAGCAAGCACGAGTTATCTTCTGCACCACGAGCTTTGCAGGATTTAGGCTAGGATTTCAGTGTGGCTTTGGACTTCCACCAACTTTAAGACGTTGAGCAGAAACTTTGCGCCTTCCCGAGGCATCACCAGACCGAGCCCCCTGACTTAGAGCTTCGGCAAGTCGCTTGTGGAGCGGCGCATACCTGCGCGCTCGCCTCCGCCTCCTGGCTCTTGCTTTGGGTTTGGCCGGGTTACCGGGGCCCGTGGTTCTGTCTCGCCTCGTGATTCGACCAAGAGTCTTGTTCTTCTCATCAAAGTTGGGAGCAGTAGCAGTAGTAGGAGAAAGAGGAAGAGTAGCACTCGTAGCATTTGCGAACGCAAGAGTAGTAGTGGTAGTAGGAGTAGCAGTAGTCGTAGTGGTGGTGGTAGTGGTGGTGTTGGTGTTGGTAGTGGCAGTGGTGGTAGTGGTAGTGGTCGTAGTGCTAGTAGAAGTAGCAGTAGCAGCAGTCGCAGTCGTAGTCGTAGCCGTAGACATGGTCGTGGCCATAATTATAATCCTTATAATCATAATGCGCCATCAGGCCGTTGCCACTTGTGTTGCTTTTGTCTTTTGTGTTCTTTTGGTCCGGAGGATAATGGTTAAAGGGTCAGTTCAGGTCCTATGCTATGAAGAAGGGGGTCAGGGATTCGGGTTTAGGTGGAAAGGTGGAGTTCAGTGTTTGGGGTAATATGCTTTAGAGCACCTACCCCAACACCCGTAAACCAAAAGCACTGCGAACCGAAATCTTGCAACAGCATCGTCGCCAAGGATGGTGAAATCCACTGTTGGGGCCGCTTCTCCTGGACTTATTCGCCTCACATCGGAAGGCAAAGAGCATGAGGCTAGGGCTTGAGGGGCTCAGGGTTCGCTGGCTTAGGGGGCAGCGAGCGGGTGGACACCCAGACCACGGCCCAAGCCACGCAGCTCTGCCGGGCTTTGCTTCCGAGGAAAAATAACTCGGCTTCAATGCCCCGCATGAGATTCAAAAGGCCACCTTCATAAGCTGCGTAATTACTAAAACGGCTTCAGCCCCTGCCGAGGTGGACTGACGAACCAAAACTTACTCTGGGCCAAATCATAGCCATCTCGGTTCCATAGTGAGCCTTGTTCTTCACAAGCGCCCTGCGAATCCAAAACCCTGAGCAAGAAAGGGCGATATCAAAAGCTTCATTCCACCACCATGAACCTGCTGCTAACTCAGACGCCTGGCCCGGATTTCCCAAGTTGTAGGCCTTCGATAAGCATCGAAACCCCCAGGTAGCGACGAACACCAGCGCAGCTCCGGATCTCCTTCCGGAAGGCCTGGACAGCCTGGGCCTGGGCCCTCTTCCGTCTTGCGGCAGTGCTGCTGGTGGTGGTTGCCGTAGCAGGAGTTGCAGAAGCAGTAGTCCTAGTCGGAGCCGTCAATGTAGTGTTCGCAGAGCAGGAGTAGGAATAGCAGTAGAAGTAGGAGCAGGAGAAGGAGCGCGACAAGATGCTGCACCCTGCCAGGTTCGTTTCCATTGCTGCCTCTGGTGGCCATAGCTGTGCCCTGAAGAAGAATGGCAATGCTGTCTGCTGGGGCTTCAATGACTCTCGGAAGGCAAATGTTGAAGATCTCACCTTTTAATTTGGTGGTGATTTCTCGCACTTCTACCCTGAACCCCACCCTCTCGAACTCACTTAAAATGCACCATCCCCACGCCCTGGCCTCGCTCGATGAGTCGTTTGTGAGATTTGAGGCCCTCGTCCCTCGTATTTACGGAGGCAGGAAATGGCAGGTAGCAGCTTATCATGTATCGGTGAAGGCTTCGGGGGCTCTAGATCTTCGGGTGTAGGGCATTGTGTTTTAGGTTTACGCTCTCGCGTCTTGCTTTCTGCCCAGGACAACAACCAGACAGATGCAACTGGACCTCAAGCTTTGCCTGTGCTGATGTCAAGTTGTTTGCGTGACCTCGGTACCCAGGCACTCTTGCGATTTCACACGGACATTGGCATTTTTGTTTCGGGGCATCCTACACTACACCTGTTTTCTTTTCCATTTCGGTGGTTTTGCACTTCCGCGGCCACTCGCCGGTGTGACTAATTTCATAAACGCCATCAGCTGGTTGAACTGCCCGAGATGTGCCGAAATCAGCTGTCGTGCTGGTAAAGTAGTCTGTTCATCAGATTAGGCAAAGACCCGCAGCTAGGATCCGCCCTACATGGCAAACATTTTG